ACATCAACGCGAAGTGTCGGGATACGTGAGTTAAGGGTGAAAGGGGGGAGGGGGTGAAAAAAGGGTTTGATTAGAAAAAAAGGGAGGAAGAGTGAGTGCGTGAAAAAATAAGGTTTATAAAAGTGGTAGATGGCGAGAAAATGTAAAGATGAAAAAGGTATGTCTTAAAAAAAAAAAGTATAAAGATATAAAAAAAAATATTGTAAGAAAGAGTGGGGAAGCAAAAAGGGTTAACTTTAAGAAAGATGAGATTAAAAAAATGTTTTCAAATGGCAATAGCACAAGTATACGAGGATTTGCTGTTCGGAAATACGACAGCGGAAATAGGGTTTTCTTTAAAAGCGGGGTGAGACGTCGAAAAGATGGAAAATGGCGAAAAATAATTAATTTAAAGAAAAGGTGAAATGGTAAGATGGGAGAGGACAAGAACCTTAAGAAAAGGTGAAGATTTTACTATAGGATTATATAAAGGGGGAGAAAGGGTTGACTCTAAGAAAGGGCTAGAGAGTGAAAAAGGATTCTTAAAAAAAAAGAAAAGAAAGAAAAGAAAGAAAGAGGAATAGAAGTGGTTGACTTTAAGAAGGGGTGCAAGGATGGAAAGTCTTTACTTCAAGAAGGAGTTGAAGGTTTTTTTTCAGTATGGGTTTACTTTATGAAGGAGTGAAATGCCTGTGCTGTTGTTTGGAAAGGGTTAAGCGTTCAAACCGTGCTTGGGAATGTAGTGTATGGCAAAAGATATGAATGAGAATGAATATTTTCACAAGACATAATTTATATAGCTTTATAATTTATATAGCTTTACATATGTGATGGACATACAAACATATACACTTCCCTACACACACAACACACGGAACTGCACAAATGCACATTACCACACACATATACGTACAGCAGACAGATAAACATTCTGATAATAGACATCGCACAATACACAGGAAACCTAGATACACACATGTGAATTGCACATACTTTAATTTCTCTATATGTTTCCCTCCCCATCCCTCCCTCGCCTTCTCTCTCTCTCTCTCCTTCACTCTAACACATCCACACATATACTCACACACAGACATGCGCACACACACACACACACACACACACACACACACACACACACACACACACACACACACACACACACACACACACACACACAAACTCACGCATGCACACAGATATATATATATATATATATATATATATATATATATATATATATATATATATATATATATATACAATATATATATATATATATATATATATATATATATATATATATATATATATATATATAATATATAATATATGTATAATATATATATATATATATATATATATATATATATATATATATATATATATATATATATATATATATATATATATAACATATATACATATATATATATATATAATATAAATAGGTAGATAGATAGATATAGATATATATATAAATATATATGCATACCTCTCATCTCATCCCCAAGAGCCGCCACTGACCTTGCTCCTTCCTCCCCCAGAGTGCTCCCCCCCCCGACCCCCGCCAGCCGCCCCTCCAGAGCCGCCCCTCCTGTTCCGCCGAGGACGTCGTGCCCAAGCGTACGTAGGGCGTGTCCTTTGTGTAAAGTCCCGTGTCCTTCTCTCTCTCTCTCTCTGTGTCCTGTCTCCGGAAAGGGAGGTAAAGGTTTAGTGTTCAGTTTATTCCGGAGTTTCTTCCCCGAGCGTAAGTATTTCGTTTTCTTAGTGGAGTTCTGTGTTCCTTTGGCCGCGTCCTGTATGTCTGTGCGTGCTGTAAGAAGCACATCTTCCCCAAGGTAAGGGTGGGTCTGTTTTACCCGTTTATCATACGTCTTCCAGTCTCAGGAAAGGCAAATCTGGTAACCCAGCCTGGACTCTCGTACGTCCCAAGTCTCTTCTGAGAAAAAAAAAAAATAATAATAATAAAATAAATAAATAAATAAAATATGTAAAGCCACAGGAAGGATGTCTATAACTCTAGGATTAAGTGTCAGCTGATTAGAATTAAGAGAAAAAGAAAATAAAAAGACGAATAGGAGTGCTCTAGAGTCCGGCGTGAGTTGCCAGTTTCCCTTTTCTTGAGTCAGAACGCAGTAGAATTACTAGTCCCCGGGACTTCGTTTTCGTCTTCTATAGGCTAAATCTGCGATCCTTAAGCGTGTCGTGGCATCCTCTCCACAGCGTAGGTAACACCACCTCTCGAGGGCAAGTCTAACCGATTTTGCGGAGGCTTGACCACGAAACTGACTTCATAATTTCAAATGGGCGCGATAGAGTAAAAATGTGGACGTTATTAAAAAAGCAAATGTTGGCAGCAACCATAGAAAGGTCAGAGGCCAAATTAAATTACACCTCAGAAGGGAACGGACCAGCCAACTTTAGACCAGAGCGAAAGAATTTAACCTTAAAATGCAAAACAGATATTCACTTTTCAGCGACGAAGATCTCAACATTGATCTAATCAACAAACAGTTCAATT